TTTTTGAAAAAGCGTGGTCCAGAAGTATCAAAAAGAAATTAGTTTCCATTTGGGTGCTCATTTTTAGTTGACAAACAGCCCAAAAGGCTGATTTTTTTAAAAAGTGCCAAAGGGGAAATAATAATGCCATCAAATCTGCTCCAGTCCAGAAGTATTCTACTGGAAGCTTCTGCATAGCCACCCTGGAATTTCTTGGGAGTCTCTCATCCAAATACTGGCCAGGGCCAACCCCGCTTAGCTTCCAAGATCTGACAAGATCAGGCTAGCCTGGGCTATGCAGGTGTGTGAGGGGGGGGGGAGATACAGCAAACAAAATGAACCTTCAGTCTGTCACAAGAAGAAAAAACAGGAAAGAAACAGACACCAAGCTGTTTGAGGTGGCAGTTGATCAAACTGTGCTATATTTGAACCTCCTTACAAAACAAGCAAAATGACAATGCGTGCTTTCATTCTGGACAAGTATTTAGAGATATGCACAAGATCCTCTGTATGGATGTCCCATGATTTCTTTTTGAATGGCTGGGATACATTCAAAGCAGGACTGAAGTCTCTACAGGAGGTGGCTGTCATGTCAAATACACGGAGAAGTACGTATTTCCTCGTAAAGCATTAAGAATTGTGCATAATGCGAAGGCACCAGGAAAGCAGGTCCAGAATGGGGTTCCATCACGTGTCAAAGCTACCCCCAGCGTTTGAATATAGGCAGAAGAGGTGCTGGTGTTCGGACTAGGAATCCCAGCAATTACAAAGCAAACAAACCCCCCGAAAATCAAAGCACCATTCAGGAGTGTACATCAGCACCTGGAAATCAGTAAGGTGGGAGGAGAATCAAGAACCAGGAAAGACCCAGAGACAGACACATTCTAATTCAGCTGGTTCAGGCTGCCCACATTGACACAAAAGGGGGAACTGAGTTTGAAATTAGCTGCAAAAGTATGCACAGCTGACCAGCTTGCTCTGAGCTCTGCTCACAGATATTCAAACTGGAGGCCCCAGAGTCCAGAAGACCCATTGCTGAACTGCTGAAAAGAGGCAAGGAAGTGACATAGTTTGTAGGGGAGAAGTGGAAAGTGGGATAGTCCACCTTTCCTGTCCCTTCCATACTCACCAGCAGTTAGGGTTGCCAACCTTCAGAGGAGGGCTGGAGATCTGCTGGAATCGCAATTGACTGCAGAGATCAGTTCCCCTGGAGAAAAAATATTTACTGAATTCCCCAATGGGGACTCAAAGCCGCTTATGTCATTCTCCTCTCCTTCCACTTTATGCTTACAACAACCCTGAGAGGTAGATCAGGCTAGAAGAGAATGACTGGCCCAAGGTCACCCAGCAAGCTTCCATGGCACAAGTAGGGATTTGAACCTTTGTCTCCCAGAGATACTAGTCTAACACTCTTAATCCCTACACCATACTAGCTCTCTAATGGCTGCTCTGGAAAGTAGGTTGCATGGCATTATACCCTGCTGAGGTTGCTCCCCTCCCTAAACCCCGCCTTTTCCAGGCTCCGCCCCCAAATCACCAAGAATTTCCCTACCTGAAATTGGCAACCCTACCTGAAGCAGGTAGGTTTGCCAACGGTACGCTGGCAAATTCCTGGAGCAATTCTGAGCAGATCTACTCACAGTCCTATTCAGGACAAAGAGTTCTTGGGCTTGGGCGGTTTCTCTCTGGAAATCCTGGAACGGGGAGGAGGGTGTGGGAGGAAAAAAGCAGGGGGGAGGGTTAAGCAGCCCCCTCCCCACTCCCTGCTGTTCCTCCCCACTTCATACTGTGTCCTCCCCAAGCCGCTTTCTAATTGTATGGAAGAAACCATTTTGGTCCCATCACAGCAGGAGGAGGAGGAGAAGATTGGATTTATACCCCGCCCTTCACTACCCAAAGGTGTCTCAGAGCGGCTTACAAACTCCCTTCCCTTCCCCTCCCCACAACAGACACCCTGTGAGGTAAAAGAAGAAGAGGAGATTGGATTTATACCCCGCCCTTCACTACCCAAAGGTGTCTCAGAGCGGCTTACAAACTCCCTTCCCTTCCCCTCCCCACAACAGACACCCTGTGAGGTAAAAGAAGAAGAGATTGGATTTATACCCCACCCTTCACTACCCGAAGGAGTCTCAGAGCGGCTTACAAACTCCTTTCCCTTCCCCTCCCCACAACAGACATTTTGTGAGGTAGGTGGGGCTGAGAGAGCTCTTGACAGAAACTGCTCTTTTTCAAGAACAGCTGTGCCAGAGTTACAGACTAGAGTCCACGCACTTAACCACTACACCAAACTGGCAAAACACACATCTGGGACTCTGGCTAAACCTGGGGCTGGTGAAGGGGGGAACAGCAGGTAGGGATAAGGTGAAATGCCCCCCACTTTTTTCCTGCAAATCATGTCCTTCCTTGGCACTTCCTAAAGATCAATGTTCCAGACCTGCGTCTGCTACTGTATGTCTAGTTTGGTCCTCCGGTGCCAAGTCGGGGTCCCCAGACAACACACTGGGTCTGCCCTGGAGCTTTGGGTCATATCAAGAGCTTCACTGCCAATAGGCGTCACCCCCCCACACACACACACAACATTGCCCTTCCTTTGCAAAGCACAAAGTCCCTCATGTTTTCCTAGCTTCTTCCAGCTGCAGACGGAGCGGACACAACCTCATCTTGCAGCACTGAGCCCTTGACAACTTCAGTGCAACAAGCCCTCTGAGAACACTTGCCACAGCTCTTTGGTTTTGGTATTTTCTGCCCCATAAGAATCAATTTTTACAAGATTATGCATGGGAAAGAACAGGTAGAGAAAGAGGTACTTTTCTCCCTTTCTCACAATACAAGAGCTCGTGGGCACTCCATGAAATTGCTGAGCGGTCGGGTTAGAACGGATAAAAGGAAGTCCTTCTTCACCCAAAGAGTGATTAACACTTGGAATTCACTGCCACAGGAAGTGGTGGCGGCTACAAGCATGAACGGCTTCAAAAGGGAATTAGATAGGCATATGGAGCAGAGGTCCATCAGTGGCTATTAGCCACAAGGTATAGATACGGACTCTGGGGCAAGTGATGCTCTGTCTTCTTGGTGCTGGGGGGGGGGTCAACAGTGGGAGGGCTTCTAATGTCCTGGCCCCACTGGTGGACCTCCTGATGGCACCTGGTATTTCTGGCCACTATGTGACACAGAGTGTTGGGCTGGATGGGCCTTTGGCCTGATCCAACATTGGCGTCTCTTATGTTCTTATGTTATGTTCTTAATATTGAACAGCTAGCAGTGAGATATGCAAGGTTGGGTGCTCCCTGGAAAACGTTCTTCACTGAATTGGAAAGGGGAAAGTCCCCCTCATCCATCCTCCTTGTGGGTTGACTCATCCCTTCTAGCCACCTAGTCTTATAGCTTTGTTCTTAGAACCTGGCCAAAAAACCTGCAATGAAATGACCTTATTCTTCACAGGTCAGCATGTATCCACCACGGGAAAATGCCGGTCTGTGTTGATGCCCTGCCAGGTGAACGCAGCCAGTACAATATATTTAAATCATCATTTAGCCTTTCTTTTCAAGCCATCTATCATGGATGAGCAGTGGCATCCAGACAGAAGTTGAGCTCAGAACAAGACAGTGGGTGTCCATGAGTTGGCGGGTCCATGCTCAGAGCATGAGTGGCCGAAGTTTCACATCATCCAGCCTCTGGCTATCATGCACTGAAATGGTCGCAAAAACAGGATCTACATCTGAATTGCGTGGCACACGGTCGGGTGAACCTTCTAGGATCTAGCTTTCTAACTGGCATAATTGCATGTATTTGGTTAATTTATTCTACCTGCCTAAAGGTAAAGGTTCTCTTGCTCAAAAGCCAGTCGAATCCGACTCTAGGGTTGCGGTGCTCATCTCCGTTTCAAAGCCGAAGAGCCAGCGCTGACCGAAGACGTTTCCGTGATCATGTGGCCGGCATGACTAAACACCAAGACGCACGGAACGCTGTTACCTTCCCATCGAAGTGGTACCTATTTATCTACTTGCAATTTCTTGCTTTCGAACTGCTAGGTTGGCAGGAGCTGGAACTAGAGACGGGAGCTCACTCCGTCATGCGGCACCTGGGTCTCGAACTGCTGAACTACTGACCTTCCACAGCCTGCAGTTCAGCGTCTTAACCACTTGAGCCACCGCAGCTCCTCTACTTGCCTACTAGTTTCCATAATTTATTCTGCTAGCAATTGGAGGAAGCAAGGAGATCTAACAGAACCTGAAGACTCATCTTCTGACCCACAGGGTCAAAGGTCTGCATGAAGTGCCTTGTACCTTCTGAGACGACCAGTGTATGTAGTGGTCATCCTCCTTTCCCCCAAGATCTCTCTGGCCCATGCAGAGATCTCAGGGGAGGGTTGGAACCTCATCTCTCACACCATGCCAAGCTTTGTAGATACTCAGAAGAAGTGTTGAGTTTATCCAGATTCTTCTGAGCATCTAGAATAAAACTGAGGCAGCAGGGAAAACGGCTTTCCAAGAAGGTACTTGTCCATTTAGTGCTTTTAGACTCATTCAGTCATCAGGCCAAAACTAGATTAAGGAAGTGATATGGTTTGATGTGATGTTCGAATTCTGGAAAACCAGAACCAGAAATCATGCTTTTGACCTGTGTTGTGCTAGCTATGGGTTGGTGCCACCTTGTGTGAACGGACAGAACACATGTGTCTGAATAAAGCATGCTGCAGGAGCAGGACCCAACGAATGATAAAGGCCAGAAAGACCTGGGACAGGGGTCCCAACAATGTGGCGGCACCTGAAATTGTGAACGATGGTTAGACACAAATATCTTGGGCAACAGAAACCTTGAGATCTTTCCTCCATGGGCTCTCCCTCTCAGAAACAGATATATGACCTGAATTTCTGTTCCAAAGTTACACATCACAAGACACAAGCCCGATTGCCAAGAAGAAGAGGTTCGAGGGCCAGAATACTCTAGAGAGCGGCTGCCGACCAGAGCAGACAATACTGACTTTGATAGACCAATGCTCTGACTCAGTATCAGGCAGCTTCATGTTTCAAGTGAGTAGAATCTGTGGCATTTGGGTTGAAATCCCCCCTCTGCTATGAAGCTTGCAAGGTGACCTTAGGCCAGTCATTCTCTCTCACCCTGTTCTCCCTCATGGGGTTGTTGTGACACTAAGACAGAGGGGACGGATCACGTACTCTGAGCTCCTTGAAAGGAGGATGGGATTAAAACGACCAGACAGAATATTGCGCCATGTCTTGTAAAAGCAGCGTGAGAATCAGACCTGACGACTGCAGATATCTGGACAAACGAGCTCAGGAGGTCCTCAAACACACCTCTCGGCACGTAGCCATATTTGGCAAACGCCTGCCTGCTTTCCAAACATCGAGCAAGCAGATGGAGAAAGAAAGGAAGCAACATAAATAAATGTGGTGTGTCCCTCATAGCAAGTGGTACGTCAGAACATCAGAAGAACCCTGCTGGATCTAACCAGTGGTCCATCGTGGTCCAGCATCCTGTTTCACACAGTGGACAACAAGCTACCACGGAGGACTAACAAATCGGGCATAGAGGCCTTCCCCTGAGACTATGGTTGACAGCTAAGGTTTTCAACGTCTACTGCTGAAACCAATCAATGCCTGTTGTGATCTGCAGCAGCCCTTTCATATGACTTACGTGGATGGTCTGGTGGTGGTTCTTCTCCACCTCAGCCTTGTGTTTCATTGGCTAGAAGGAAAGCCCTTTACTCCTCCAGAGTCTGGACTACTTTTGGCCAATTTTCACTAACTCTGCAAGTGATGCCAAGCCACCACCTCCTGAGTAGCCCTGCTTTCCTTCCTCCCCCTCCTACCCTCTGGTCTGGTACATAAACATAAGAGCACCACGAATGTGCCTTTTGACTTGGACAACTGGAAAGAACAGGAGGGAGTGACTTGTGGGAGGAAAAGAGTAAGGCTAGGATTTCATTTTAGGTCAACCCTGATCTAGGATCAATCCAGCTCTCTTTGCCAAACACACATCTTTTAAACTGCATTTGTCCTCTAACTCAAATCACCACCACAAATAAGATAGACCTCCCTGTTCATCCCCGCATCCAGGCATTTATTAAAACAGAATCATGCACAAAGGCAATATAGGGGAGATAAGCAGTCAAGGCATTTCTCGGACATCCATCGTCTTTACCCATCCCGACAGTCCATATAGTTGCCTTTGATCCAATAACAAATCTGTGCATATTTCAGGGGCGTGATGCGGACAGCCACGTTGAAATCCTGAGGGGAGCCGTTGTTGTCTACCCACTGGTGTCCTGAAAATATCCCAATGATTTTACGTTCCCATTTGTGGTTCTGTCTCTTCCACATCCGCACGTAAACTCCAGAGCCGCTGGCTCCCGGCTGGGCATCGCACTGCTGATACAAGAGGTCGAAGGTCTCGTCTTTGACATCGCAGAAACGGTAGACCAGATTTCCGGGCCGATCGTTGTCGTAGCCCGAGAAATGAATCCTTCCTCCGGGCAACTGTCTTGCCGATGGACTCACGCCTATTTTCATGAACTTTCTCTTGTGGGGCTTCTTGAGTTCCAACAGGGCATAGTCATAATCCATGCCAATGTCATTGGCATTCCCTTTTATCCACCCTTTCGGAACGTGGGTCCGCTTCACACGGATCCACTGGAATTTCATTCTCTCGGGCTCAGAGGAGCCGCTGACATTTCCTCCCTTGCTACCGTCTTTCAGCTTGGGCCTCAGAAATCCCACTCGTAGTTTTTTGGCTCCCTTGACGTAACTCTTGCCATCATGAATGCAGTGAGCTGCCGTTAGGACATGCTTCTCAGCCACCAGCGTTCCAGTGCAACCAGTGGACAACTTCACAGAAGTGGAAAAGGGGTAGTTGAGCAAGAAGTCCTTGCCAAAAATACTGAACCTCGTATCATATCCATAGATTTGCCTCTTTGTCCGAGATCTGCTTTGCGCCCCTGCACTGCCGCTAGTAACGACATAGATGCCAACTTCCGTCTCGGTACGGGAACCATTGGAGTACAACGTTTCGTAAGAAAGATAATCTTTCACCTCTTGGTAAGTAGGTAACGGGGAACGCTTGTGGCAAGATGGACCACAAGGCGATACCACTTCTAATTTGGCTTCTGCGTCAAACTGTGGCTTGTCCAAATTAACAGTCAACTGTGGCACGACGACTGGAACTTTGTAAGAAGGCCAGGTGGGCTTCCAATGGGAACTGGAAGGTATCACACCTCCCACGGCCCACAGGAGAAAGATCAGAGCTGGCAGGCCCACCATACTGAAGGCTGATCTGCAAAACAAAAGTGAGGTTCTTGTTACTGATGGCTGAAAGAGTAATGCACAATGCAAATAATACCTTGGTAGAAAGGCTCAAGTGGTTAAGACGTTGAACTGCAGGCTGTGGAAGGTCAGTAGTTCAGCAGTTCGAGACCCGGGTGCCGCATGATGGAGTGAGCTCCCATCTCTAGTTCCAGCTCCTGCCAACCTAGCAGTTCGAAAGCAAGAAATTGCAAGTAGATAAATAGATACCACTTCGGTGGGAAGGTAACAGCGTTTCGTGCGCCTTGGTGTTTAGTCATGCCGGCCACATGACCACGGAAACGTCTTCAGACAGCGCTGGCTCTTCGGCTTTGAAACGGAGATGAGCACCGCAACCCTAGAGTCGGATGCGACTGGCTTTCGAGCAAGGGAAACCTTTACCTTTACTAGAAAGTCAAAACTGGGCACCACAAATTTATACTGGCTTAGATCTACCTTAACTCAAAGAATCCAGGGTTCGATCCTGTGGACCCCCTTCTGCTAAATCAAAATTTAGAGTCCAGTAGCAGCTTAAAGACCAACAAGATTTAGTCTTTAAGTTGCTCCTGGATTCGAATCTTGATCCTCTACTGCAGACCAACATGGCACTTCTGCTTTGTCTTCCTTCAAGGGAAAAAGTCTTCCTCCAATAGAGAAAGACATTTTTTCCCTGATAAAGGCTTTCTCTGATGGAGAAAAATCTTCCTTTATTGAAGAAAGACCAGCTGCAAAGGACTTATAGGATCTAAGTTAGTGGAAGGGGAGTCATGGGCTCCAATCCCTGGGAATTGTAGTTTGGTGAATTCTGTTAGAGGTCCCTCATGCCCCTTCAGAGAACTACAATTCCCAGAGTTCCTTAGGAAAAGCCAATGACTGTGAATCCAGGCGAAGTTAGTACTGTACACGTCCTTCAAACGTTTCTAACCCAAGGTCATCTCCTAATATGATTGCGATGTAGCCCAGAAGAGAACCTGCAAAACTTTGATTCACATCCCATTGAACACATGGGAATTCTCTTATACTGATGTGGACCATGAATACTGCTCACTCAGACTGATAGCATCTTCTTGGATCTTAGAGGAAGATGTCCCCTAGCTTCTGCTACCTGTGAACCTTTAACAGGAGATGCCAGAGCCGGAACCAGCAGCCTTCTCCATACCAAGCACAGAATTCCAGTGCTGAAAGTGGTCTTAAAGTCCACTCAGTTCGACTCCTGTTCAATGCAGACAATTTGGCCACTGTGGCTCTACCACCAAGCCATGGCCCCTCTGCTTCAGACGTGACTATATTCTGAATGCCACATTGTGCGTCTTTCTCAGTTTCTCATTTGTAGAGTAAATAAATTAAATAAATAAAATAGGAGGAGGAGAAGAGATTGGATTTATACCCTGCCCTTCACTTGGAGTCTCAGAGTGGCTTACAATCTCCTTTCCCTTCCCCTCCCCACAACAGACACCCTGTGAGGCAGGGGCTGAGAGAGCTCTGAGAGAACTGTCCTTGAGAGAACAGCTCTGACAGAACTGTGGCTTGCCCAAGGTCATCCAGCAGGTGCAAGTGGAGGAGTGGGGGAATCAAACCTGGTTCTCCCAGATTAGAGTCCGCGCACTTAACCACTACACCAAACTGGCTCTCAAAGTGGACTCAGACTTTATTTAACAAGTCACTTGTTAACAAGACACATCCTTCGGCTGAAAAATGGACAGGCCAAGACAAAAGAAGAGCAGGAGTTACGTGATTGTGTTTATTCTGTTCCTGAGGTCAAAGGGCAACTTTTGCCTGCATCTCCAAAAGGGGGGATTCTATTTTGGAACATCAGAATGGGGAAAGGGGGAGGAGTATTCCTGCAGTGCTAAATGGGGCCTGGGGACTCTACGGGGCTTGCAGCGTCTGTCTTCCACAGTCAATTGCAAGCCCAGATTGGCACTCCCCCCCCCACCGCCCCCGTCATATTTTAAATGGTCCAAGCTCCGTTATGAAAGACAGGCAAGCGGGCTTTCCAGCGGCAGAGAACAGCAGGCATCGGAGAGGTGTCGAGAAAACGGTGGGACGGTTTGATTGGAAAATTAGCCAGGCGGCATGATTTGTTTGAATAATCCTTGCAGGGATGTGGGGGTGGGGGGGAGCCCTCCTTTCCCTGCGGGAAAGGAGGGCTCCCCCCACCCCACATCCCCGCAAGGATTATTCAAACAAATCATGGCTATTAGATGCAGCTTATGCATCTTTAAACCCTGCTGGGGTTAAACCAATAACGGCTGGAGCAGCTTAGCATCATTCTTGAAATACCTCGAGTATGAATGGAATACAGCCGGGCCCTATAGAAGGTGCTTGGCAGCCCTTGAAATGAATGATGGCGTTCCATGTCTTCGACCAAAGTGGCCTCCTCCACCTAAACAAATGTCTACTGTACTCTAGTTCTACCCGGAGCAGCCTTACTTACGGAGCTTTCATCACTCAAGGGCATGTCTGCGATGCTGACAACGGCCCTGCAAGGTAGACCAACAGTCGCATTCTCGTGTTGTTGGCAGGAGACTGCAGCTGAGACCCAGAGGCTTGCCTAGGGGTTATCTAGTCCACTTCTACACAGGTATTTTGCCCTGGATGCTGGACTAGATGGCTCTTCTTATTTTCCTCCTCTATGCAAGTCAGGGCCACACCCATTGCTCTCCCTTCCTCCGTGGGACGGGGGAGGAGGAGGAGATGGAGACTGGATTGAAAGAGCAGTTCTTGAAAGAGCTCTCTCAGCCCCACGTACTTCACAGGGTGTCTGTTGTGGGGAGGGGAAGGGAAAGGAGTTTGTAAGCCACTCTGAGACACCTTTGGGTAGTGAAGGGCAGGGTATAAATCCAATCTCTTCTTCTTCTACCTCACAGGGTGTCTGCTGTGGGGAGGGGAAGGGAAAGGAGTTTGTAAGCCGCTCTGAGACACCTTTGGGTAGTGAAGCGCGGGGTATAAATCCAATCTCTTCTTCTTCTACCTCACAGGGTGTCTGTTGTGGGGAGGGGAAGGGAAAGGAGATTGTAAGTCACTCTGAGACACCGAGTGAAAGGCGGGGTATAAATCCAATCTCTTCTTCTCTATACCCCGCCCTTCACTCAGAGTCTCAGAGCAGCTTCCAAACTCCATTCCCTTCCCCTCCCCACAACAGACACCCTGGGAGGTAGGTGGGGCTGAGAGAGCTCTTTCGAGGACTGTTCTTGAGAGAACAGCTGTGCCAGAACTACGGCTTGCCCAAGGTCATGCCAGCAGCTGCAAGTGGAGGAGTGGGGAATCAAACTCGGTTCTCCCAGATTAGAGTCCACGCACTTAACCACGACACCAAACTGGCTCTGGAGGGGCCATGGTTCAGTGGAAGAGCATCTGCTTGGCATGCAGAAGGTCCCCAGTTCAATCCCCAACATCTCCAGTCAAAGGACCAGGCAGTAGGTGATGGGAAAGACCTCTGCCCGAGACCCCGCGGAGCCTCTGCCAGTCTGCGTAGACAATACTGACCTTGGTGGATCAAGGGTCTAATTTAGTATAGGGCAGCTTCATGTGTTCATTTTCTGAATAATCTTGTGTGGGGGGGGGTCACCTTACAGGGTCCTCTTCCTTTCAAGCAAATACAGTAGTTTTTGCCATCTGTTTGGAGGGGCGTAAGTTGAAAACAGAAATCCTGATGTCATTAGAAAACAAAATAAGGTACGCTCTCCGGATTTAGAAGCAGTCTTTGTACAGTCGCAGAAAATTTGCCTATTTGTCTTAAAAACTGAAAACATCGACCTTGTCGCCCATGCACAGTCATCACCGAAGCTATCACATTAAGTTGTGGGCAGAATTAGTTGCAAATCCTTGAGAATGGTCCTAGATATGTCGATAGTCTACAGAGGAGTGACTATTAGCTGATACCGGGTAGACATAACATCTTCACCTGACACAGTTCTTAGAAGGCCTTTTCAGTGAATAAAACCCGGCCTTAAAGAGCATTCCACTCATACTACTGAGAGAAAATATTCGTAGAATTTCCCCCACACACACTCAACATTCCACAGAAATGCCAAATTTTCTACGGAAAAAAAACGGGGGGAAGTCCTCACGAGAAGAAAAAAACTATCCCCCCACACACACCTCAAATTGTTCTGGGCTTTCTCGGGAGGGAAGGCAACATGGTATGGCCTGATCTTGTCAGAACTCAGAAGCTAAGCAGGGTTGGTCCTTGGATGGGAAGGCTCTGCAGAGGAAGGCCATGGCAAACCACCTCTGCTTCACACTTGCCTTGAAAGCTCCTACATAAAACACAGGCTGACCAGATCCAAGCTGGATACTCTAATCATGACACCACACTGGCACGCTATGCTGCCTTTGGCATGGACAAGCCATGTAGCAGCAACTGATCCTATGGGCAAGCTCACCATTAGAAGAAGAAAAGGAGGAGGAGATTGGATTTATACCCCGCCCTTCACGCGGAGTCTCAGAACGGCTTCCAATCTCCTTTCGCTACCCCTCCCCACAACAGACACCCTGTGAGGTAGGTGGGGCTGAGAGAGCTCTTTCGAGAACTGCCCTTGAGAGAACAGCTCTGAAATAATTTATGACTGACCCAAGGTCACACCAGCAGCTGCATGTGGAGGAGTGGGGAATAAAACCCGGTTCTCCCAGATTAAAGTCCGTGCTCCTAACCACTACATCAAACTGGCTCCCATTAGCAAGCCCATTTGTGTGATTTTGTGTGTGTCTGCAGTAGTTCAATGTATTCACCTAATTCAGGGGTATTTACCCTGGGGCAGATTACTGGGCGATGAAGCCTCTTACAATTGTAAAGCTAACATGCTTACAGTTTGGTGTAGTGGTTAAGTGCACGGACTCTAATCTGGGAGAACCGGGTTTGATTCCCCACTCCTCCACTTGCACCTGGCCGGATGACCTTGCGCAAGCCGTAGTTCTGATAAGAGCTGTCCTTGAAACAGAGCAATTTCTGTCAAGAGCTCTCTCAGCCCCGCCTACCTCACAGGATGT